ATATATATATAGGTATATATGTACCTTTTTCTATGTAACAGCCCTGCTTTCCTATCTCCCACTCAGCTGCAGCCTGTTCATGCACAAACACACACACATTTATATATTTTTATATATATGTATGCACCTATATGTAGGGTATAATAGGGCTATATGTAGGGTAATGTATGTGTGTATATATATATAAAATAGGTATATATATACCTATTGTATAAATTTATATATATAATGGGTGTATATATACCTATCCCTATATAACAGCCCTGCTTTCCTGTCCCCCACCTGGCTGTGTGTTTGTTCACACACACACACACACATTTATATATTAATTTATATATATATGTATACACCTATATATAGTGTATAATAGGGCTATATATAAGGTAATATATATATATATATGGGTATATATACCTATCCCTATATAACAGCCCTGCTTTCCTGTCCCCCACCAGCTGTGTGTTTATTCACGCACACACACACACACATTTATATATTTACAGATCTGCATATCCCAGTTGGCCAATCCATGTYGATGCTGGCCCTCCTGCAGGCCTGGCTGGCAGGTGACCATTGTGACCCCGAGATGCTGCTTTTGCAAATCCCTGCAGGCTCATGTGGGAGCAGGAACCGAGGCAGGCTCACAGGCCTTCGCAGTTTTCCGAGGCAGAAGGAAGACTCACGACACCCTTTGCGGTCCTTTTGGGTTTTTAGCAAACCTTTCCCCACCCTGGCCGAGCAGCTGGAGAGCTCGGGAGCTGCTTTGGGATCTGGGTGGGCAGGGAGGTGGGAACCCCCGGCCCCCCAGCTCCCGTGGCTGCTGCGCTGGCACTGACCCCGGGGACAGCTCGGGGGCACCCGGGGCTGGCTGTGCCTGGCTGTGCCAACCCTCACTGCGGGACCCTCCTCGGCTTCGCTTCCCTCGGGGATCTCCTTGGGGTTTCCAGCTCTCAGCACCGCAGTAGCCAACATTGAGTTATTCTGACTGGACCCCAGTCAACACTAGGCTTGTCTCAGTAGGTGGAACTATATTTATTACTAATTATTATTATTATTATTATTATTATTATTATTATTATTATTGTTCTTTTCTGGTTTCTTTTGGGGGGAAGGGAGGGGAAGAGTTCTAGGGGTGGGGTTTGCAATATAAAACACACAATAAAAACCTTAGTAAATAAAAACATGAAAAACCACCCCTTCGCCTCGCTGTCTGCTTCACTGGGTGAGCTTTGAAGAAGGAAAATGCCATTTCAGCCTTGATCTTGTCCCATCTATGCTGTCTTTAGCAAAGTTTTCATCATCCCACACATCCTCTCAAGTTTTTATGGTTTTCTTGATGCCCTTGGAGCCTTGGCAGGGTTTTCTCAACCCCACACGTTCTCKTCATTGAGCCACAGACGAGAAAAGTTTAAAACTTACCCCCACACTGAGTTTTGCCCAGGCCAAGGGAGAAACCTGCCCGTCATTTTGCAGCTTTGTGCACAAAAATCCTTCACTTGAACGCAGACATGGAAGCTCAGTCTGTGGGTGAGAGCCAGGGGCTGTCCCAGGAGCCAGGGAACAGCAGCAGGAGGAGGTCAAGGGGGGCAGCTGAAGTGTTTCAGGAAGGTAAAACTGGCCTCAGGTCTGAGTCTTCATTTCATCCTGCAAAGCCCTCTCGGAGATTGTGTCCAAACCCAGCCAGGAAGGGGCTCCTGGGGTTTCCTGGAGGGAAYTCAGACACTCAGATGTTCACTTAGCCTGTCCCAAAGAGCTTCCAGTCCAGACTTTTTGTTTTTCTGTGTCATTCCTGTTACAGGGGAACAGATTGGCAGTCCTGCCCGAGCCAGCATTTCTGTTAAGATTTCACAGACGTATTAGCTAGCCAGGCTGGACTAGAACAAAATCCACCTGGGACTGAGGATCCATCTGAGTCTGTGGATCCACCTGAGCCTGGGGATCCACCTGAGCCTGGGGATCCACCTGAGCCTGGGGATCCACCTGAGCCTGGGGTTAGGGTGTCCTGGGACAGCCTGGCTAGGGGCCAGGATTCCCTCCTGAGGAATTACCAGGGAAAATCAGCATTTGCACAGAGCTACAGCCCCGGGGAGCCACAGTCCCTGAGCCTCTGCGGAG